ATTTCGAGGTAGCTGGATGTTTTAGTTGGGGTGGAGCATGTTTGGCATGGTTGTATCGAAATCTGTGCAAAGCGTGTCGCTCTGACTCACGTAACATTTCCGGTCCAATTATACTTCTTCAAGTATGGGCTTGGGATCGATTCCACACGATGGCTCCACAGCGTCGTCACATCTCAGATCACGAGCTCGTGGGTCGACCATTAGCTGCCCGGTAAGTCGATATAAATATTGTCCTATTTTTCTCTTAAAATTTTTTTACGCATTCAATTGTTGTACTAACCTATAATATTATTGTAGGTGGAGAGATCAATTTTGTGTTACAAAAGTATCTGCACATGTTTTGATCCAATACAGGTACATGTTGGACCTCTTGTCACTAGGCTCGGTACGTTTTTTAAGTGTTAGAATATAAAAATATATATTGATTTATAATTAATTACACGGTTTTTTATTACAATTTCAGATGAACTGGAAGCCATATGATAAGGAATTTGCCAACCTACCCGACTTTTGGGTCAATGGACATAACGTCTGGTGCACTGTGAGTCCACTCATATGCTTTCATATTGTGGAATGACATCATCCAGATAGAGTTACAAGACAATTTGGTATGAAACAAGCAATTCTAGAGGTGTCATGCTGGGATAAGAGGATACATGACATCGACATTTGGGATAGCACCTGGCAGGATCAGATTGCACATTTTGTGGCAAGGTGGAACATACGTAGAGATTTTCTTGTTATCAATCCTCTAGTCGACGACGACGGTGCTTGCGATCTAGGATACATGAACTGGTATACGTTAATCACCAGAAGATATATAACTCGAGAAGGAGCAGGATTTGGTGCTACGGTACAATCTTTTATTTCGTTATAACAATTATTCAAATTAATCAATACATATTTATTAATTTTTTTCCATGTAGGCTGCGTGTTTCGTGCAAATCAGTATTATCTCGTCATCAGACGAAATTAATACGCTGTGCAACATTGGCGGGAGTCATCTTTAGAGCCTTCATCAAATGTACAATGTACCTACTCCTGCTCGTGACCCTAGGCGTAGAGGACGACGTCAAGTAGACCAAGATGCTCCAGTATGGCTTGACGATCCCGTACCTGAAGTTATCTATCATAGGGTTGAATACATTCCACCGTTTACAGAGACACAGGATGATGCTGATCCGTCCACGCCTATGGTAATGATACCGACTCCTGGTTCTAGTCAGTATCACACACCATCTTTGCAGCCGCAATATGGCTATGAAGGGGGCCATGGACGTGGACGTGGAGAGCATGGACAATACTTCAACCCTACGGAGGATCGAGACCCCACAGGGAGTCAGGAGACACCAGCGGCACCACTAGTTCGTCGTCAGCCACATCGTAACTGGCGACGTCCCCATTGTGGAACGGATTAGATCGATAGACTGTAAATTGACAGACTTCAAACATTGTTCTCTAATTTATAATATTAATTTCCAATTTTGAACTACCATAGATAACTTCATGATTCTATAAGAAAAAATAAATTATAAATTTTTACAATATTTTAAAAATAAGTTTTATTTACAACTATATTAATAAAAAAGTCCCGCTATAGAATGCATATGAAAATTAAGTATTTGTGAAAATAAACTAACTCACACTTGCAAACACATTCAAATGTAGCACCAGTCGCTAGGCGAAATCAAACTTTAGTAAGATTAATTACAAGTTTGGTTGCGACTTAAGTACTTGTAAAGATTTGTCTAAGAAGTTGTTATTTATTTATTTGCTTTTTTTTCTATTTTGAGTACAACAAGTGGGGTGAGGGATTCGAACTCATGACCTCTTGGTCAGATACAGATATCAATTACCGCTAATAAGTTGATTGGTGATCCAAGACCTGGGTTCAAAAGAAAACACAAATTTATATGTACAACTCAAAAGTTCCTAAGGGATAGCTTGGGTGGCTTGGGGCCTCAAGGAATATCCTTAAAAGTCTTAGGTTCAAGTCACATGGAACGCAACTCCACCAAGCAATGGACTCTTTATTATGTAACGGGTATGGGGATAGTGCGTAGGGGCATAAATGCCAAAGGGCCACCGACTCCTGAGTTATAAAAAAAAACAGCTTCTCGGCACTAATGTGACAAACCAAAGCAAGTTTAGTAAACCAATATGAAACTCGGTGAGAAGAACTAGCCTAAGTAACCATGCCAAACCAAACCTCCCAACTAAAGGTGCACTCAAAGAATAGATTATCACGGGACTCCATGCCAGCACAAAACACACAGGAAGCAGGAACGAAAGAGTCCAAACGAAATAAGTGATCCCTCGTAGTAAGCCAACCACATATCGCCAACCAAGAAATGAAAGAATGCTTCAGAATGTTCCCACGAACCAAACCAAAGAAAACCAAGGAACAGAAGGACGGGCCGACCACAACAGACCCCATGCACTCGACGCCGAGAAGAGACCTGTAGTGTCGAACACATAAAAATAATATATCTTAAATTATATAATAATAAGACTAAGATATTGATAATAATAAATAATAGAGAAAATTAATAATTAGTATATAAAATATTTATATATAATATAATATATAGAAAAAAATCCAAATTGGTACATCAACCCTTCGACTAAAACCTACACAAATGAAACCAGCTACTAAAGATCAGCTGACCCCCGAGGCTAGTGCCATGAACCATCGGGAAATATAAAATAAGCAAACTTCGCCCGAGACGAGCTTGCAGCATCATAGATAATCCGATCACTAAACCTCAAGTCAATTGGACCCCCCGAAAGCCAAGCATCAGCAAACCGAACCAGAGGCCGAAAAGCATCCTAGATAGAAAGAATATCCCGCCAACACGAAGAGAAATGAGGCGAAGCATGAACGGTCCAAATACAATCTCCTCGAAGAATATAAACCTCCACCCAAGCCACCAAAAGAGAGCCGGCCCATGTAAATAGAAGCCAGAGTAGCTTCATTGTAGCGACATAATTCCAAGAGGCTTAGTGAGCACACCGAAACCACCCTCCCGCAAAGGAATACACACCTCATACCAAACCATCTTAGCCCCCCACCACCCACTTCGTGCCCCTTCCATAAGAAAGAACGCAGGATCTGCTCAACATCATGAACAACCCGATGAGCTATATGTCAATACCGATGAGCTATGCTCGCTTTAACTACCTACTTAGAATCATTAAAAAAGCTTTTTAGTCTAATTAGTCCCATTAAAGAGATTAATTCAATTTGTGAGTCATATCTTTTAAGTCGTGAAGTCCACGTTCTAGAGTTTAGCGTTCTCTGTTAACCTTTAGTTTTCGTTTAAAAATTTGGAAGATCTTTTTAGATAAATTTTTCCCTATCCTAGTGGATTGGGTTCTAGATTCTTCTTGTTATGAAGTTTTCATTTTTGTTATTTAGAATTTAATTTTCGGATTTGTAGTTTAGATAGTTAAATCTTTGAATTTCAGAAAAGAGATTTTGAATTAAATCTTAAATCCCAAAGTTTTGAAAGTTTAATTTCTCTTTTTGATTTTATCCTTAAGTTTAAAATTCATGTAATCTATGTTCTAAATCTTCCTAAATTCTTGTAAGAGTCGGTTTTCTTTTGGAAAAGTATTAGGAAAATCCCCTTAGGTCACTAACTTTATTTTGGTATCATCACACTTTTTATTTGGAAAAAAAAAATCCTAAAGTCTAACTTTTCTTCTCTTTCTCTTTCTCTCTTTCCTCAACCCACTCGTAGCCCCCCAGGTAGCCTCCTCTCCGACGACACCCCATGGTGCTCTAGTAAGACCATAGACGACGGCGTCTTAACCCAGCAATGGACGGGCGCAATTTCTCTTCCAAAAGCGATAGCTAGTTATATAATTTGATTGATTTTAGATTTTTTTTTAGCGACAGATACAATAAAAAGAATAAGCAACATAATTATAGGAAGATAAGATTCATATTCAAAATTAAACCAACAAAGATTCAAATTCAAAATTAAATAAACTAACTTAATATCACATTATTTCAAAATATACCTAAAAAGTAGTAGCTGATTTGAATTTGATATTTTGTAATTTCAAATTATAAAAAAACCACTTAATCTCTATTTCCATCCAAAACAACCTGTAGGTATTTTAAAACCATTAAAATTTTAGTTAAAGAAGTTGTAGATGAGTCTATTAGAATTTGAAAGGCTAGAAACAAATCTACTATTTCAAATCAGTCATATAAAACGATGGGTATCTAATTCAATCATTCTCTCGAGGGATTGCTTTAGATGTAACTTCTTCCATAACTCTACAAACACTAGTAGAAATTCGATTTATTGTGACTTTTTTTAACGTCACAAAAATCTTTCGTGACCTTTTTTACGCCGTCACGTATACACCCATCAAAAAAGATATACGTGACGTTTAGAAAACGTCACAAAAATTAACACACGTGACGGTTAAAGACCGTCATGCAAAATATCAACTTTCGTGACACTTTTTAAACGTCATAAAAAGTGATTTTGTGACGTTTTAAGACTGTCACGATTGATACTTTTTGTGATGTTTAAAGAACGTCACTGTAAATGAGTTAGTGTGATGGCATTAGATTTTGTGACGGTTAAACAATATCACAGAAAGATGATTCGTAGCAATAAAAGGTCACGTGACAGATTTTCGTAACATTGTTTAAACGTCACAAAAAAAGATTTCATGACGTATAAAAACCGTCATAAAAACGATTTTGTGACATTTTAAAAACGTCACGAAATATTTTATTTTGTAACTAAAAAAAATCATAGAAAATGTAATTGATTTTACTTGCAGACGTCGCAGAATACAAATATCATATTATAATTAAATTGTAAATCGACATCACAAGACATTAATTTATATAACAAAGTTGAAATATAGTAGGATCAAAGTATTTTCAAAGTATTCTTGGACTTGCTAGTACATTATATTAAACATATTCAAATTGCTACAAATACAAATTACAGAATTAAACAAGTCTCACACACCAACCCCAACAAAGAAGCTCATCCATCAATTAGTTGTATTCCTAATTGTCGACTTCTTTGGGTTCGTGAAAGACCTAATGAAGAAAACAATACCCAAGTTAGATAAATGAATAACCAATAAATAGATAAGGGAAGAAAGTCAATCCCAAAATAACAAGTTTTATTTATTAAATGGTGCAAAGGGTCGAAAAGATATTAAATAGACAAAAAAAACACTTATTAAAAATAAATCACCTATAAGTGACCATAATATAAAATCAATACACAATAAATGAATCTGATAAGTTGAGATAAGAGTGATTACATGAACCTGTCAGTTAAAAAATTGAGTGAGTAGACGAACTTGACCGCGAAAAGTAAAAAAA